AGACCTGTTTGTCGGGGGCGCCTCTGGTTTCCCCGTTGTGCTCCGACTCTTTCCTATGATTCGGCGCTGGTGGAACGTTTTCAGAATCGCCTCTTTGAGTCTTCGTAGCGGCGCCCCAAATTGTCACCTCCCTGGCCTTTGTCGTCCACGATTGGCGGACTTGCTGAACGTTGTAGGACGAGCAGGCGGCGCCAGTACTGGCTGTCGGCATCGACCATTCGAAGCTGTCAGAGCTGTCGGACTCTTGCTTCTGCTTCTTTTCGATGCCTTCGTGCTAATGGTGACCTTGGCCTTCACGGTCTGTTGGTTTCGGGTCGTTATCACGGTCCGGAGTCGGGGTCCGTCCGCTACGTTATCGGTATTATTTTTCTGTCGTCTGTGTAGCGACCTCGCGGTGCTGCGTCGTCGGTCTCTGCTCGCGCAAAAGCACAGGCAGATCCCGGAAGAATTCGTCGTCGTCAACATTGCTGGGCGCCGCCAGCATCTCGTTGCCCATGTCGAAGGGGAAGCGCGAGCGGCTCATGAGGTTGCTCATGTGCTCGAGGTCCATCATGGACTGCTCCAGAGACGACATGGGGTACCAGAAGCGCGGTCGGACGAGATCCCACGTGCTGAACATGGCTGGAGAGTTGGTATAGTTCGGGTTGGTAGTGTAGTTGAGCGGTATACGGTGGCTTGGTTAGCCTTGGTTTTGACGTTTGGTTGCTTGTTTGCACGCTGTAAGCAGTAGATGGCAAATTCAGAAATGACGTGGTAACGCAGTCGGAGTTAGCGGACTTCAACTTCAACGTAGCCGATAAAAAAGGGTCTGGAAAATTTTGAGAGGGGTTCGAAATTTGGGTGGAAGATAGAAATCTATGACCAGCTAGAATTAATAAATTTGGCGGAGCAGCAACAAAACAACACATAAAATAGTGCTCGGCCAATAGAAATTTTTATCGGCCGAGCACTATTTTTGCCTACTCTCAAAATCTAGATGTGCGATTGTCAGATGCGACTGCATTCTAGAAGCGATTGCTCATTCTAGAAGGGCTTGCCAAATCAACGAATTTCAAGCAACGATGAAGTGGCGGAAGCTATCGGTAGTGGATAAGAAGAGCATCGAATTGAATGTATTAGCGAAGTTGCTGTAAAATCTGGTACCATTACAGTCTGTGCTATTCGTAAGGACGTAGCGGTCAATTCGGTAAGAGTAGCCGTTCTCTAAATGATAGTTTTTGTAAGAATGTTCTTATCATGGTCGGACGAGATCCCACGTGCTGAACATGGCTGGAGAGTTGGTATAGTTCGGGTTGGTAGTGTAGTTGAGCGGTATACGGTGGCTTGGTTAGCCTTGGTTTTGACGTTTGGTTGCTTGTTTGCACGCTGTAAGCAGTAGATGGCAAATTCAGAAATGACGTGGTAACGCAGTCGGAGTTAGCGGACTTCAACTTCAACGTAGCCGATAAAAAAGGGTCTCGAAAATTTTAGAAGTGGTCAGAATATTCGGTAGAAATCTATGACCAGCTAGAATTAATAAATTTGGCGGAGCAGCAGCAAAACAACACATAAAATAGTGCTCGGCCAATAGAAATTTTTATCGGCCGAGCACTATTTTTGCCTACTCTCAAAATCTAGATGTGCGATTGTCAGATGCGACTGCATTCTAGAAGCGATGCTCATTCTAGAAGGGCTTGCCAAATCAGCGAATTTCAAGCAACGATGAAGTGGCGGAAAGCTATCGGTAGTGGATAAGAAGAGCATCGAATTGAATGTATTAGCGAAGTTGCTGTAAAATCTGGTACCATTACAGTCTGTGCTATTCGTAAGGACGTAGCGGTCAATTCGGTAAGAGTAGCCGTTCTCTAAATGATATGTTTCGTAACAATGTTCTTATCATAGGCTACCTTTGTTGGGGGCTCTTTTACACGTGGGAACATTTACTCGACCAGGAGCGAAGTATTCGAACAGGATAGTAATGGAGACAAAAAATACAAACTTGGTTTGTCTTTGGCTCGATGCATGATCCATAAAGTAGATGCAGTTTCGCGTGGGTATCATCAAGTTTAGCAAGCTGGAAGTTTGGAAACCAAGCGTACCAGCCTTTTGGAACATAGCCTGAATGCCTCATGACCAGGAAATTTATCGTAACCAAATCCAGATCGTAGATTTTTATGAGGTTGCTTTATTTCTCTTACAAACGTATATCCCACCAGTAAACTTCGTAAATTCAAAGCTCGCTTCCTTACAGGTTTATCTGTCTCGACCAGCTTAAGTTGGAAGACGAAAAGCGAAATCAGTGCAAGAACATTTGACGTAGGTAACGTTAATGACTCGTAGAAAAAAAACAAAAATCACATCTACAGCTTACATCTCCATCGGGGTTGCCTCCTTTTCCCGCCTCCGACTCCGAAGGCTGTTGCTGCTGCAGCGTCCTGGTCTGTTGTCCTGGTTGCAGCTGTTGCTGGCGCTGTTGGTCCTTGATAGTCTTCTTCTGCGCCTCCCGAACGGCGTCTGCTGCCACATCGTCTCGAACTCGTCGGGGTGCCGCTCGAGCAGATGCTTCGTGCTGACC